ACATACTGGAAACCAATGCAAAACTGTTCAATAAACCTTCACCACCCAGACCTCAACTCCGAGATGTACCTGAGCTTCCCTCAACCTCTGAACCTGCTCCTGCTCCTCCACCTTCTCCAGCCAGTTGTTTCCCCTTGCCTTCTGCTGCCTCCAGGCGTAGGAACCACCGCTGGGGAAAGAAAGTCACCACCTCTCCGGCGGGTCAGCCTGGCGCTGCCACCTCCTCTCCGGCGGGTCAGCCTTGCGCTGCCACATCCTCTCCGGCGGGTCAGCCTGACGCCACCTCCTCTCCGGCGGGACAGCCTGACACCACCTCTGCTCCTCCGGTGGGTCAGCCAGCTGCTAGCCTCAGTCCCCGTTTTAACCAGGTCAGTTTTTCCGGCAGTCCCAGTCAACATCTCCTTGACCAACAACTAGGTCCATCCGTAAAAGGACTCAAACCAGTTCCAAAACTCACTCCCCCCGCAGTCAGGGTTCCCCATATTCAAGAGTCAGATCTCTGGGACTTCTTCTATGGGGATAGGGAGGATCTGCTCCCTTTCCTTCCACCTCCATCAGCTCCCCGCCAGCCAGATCCCGGTTCAGAGCTCATTAGCGGTCAGGTTTCCCTAGCTCTAGAGCCCATTAGCGGTCCAGTTTCCCTAGCTCCAGAACCCATTAGCGGTCCAGTTTCCCCAGTGCCTGAGCCCATTAGCGGTCCAGTTTCCCCAGTGCCTGAGCCCATCAGCGGGGCAGTTTCCCCAGTGCCTGAGCCCGCTCTGAGCCGTCCAGTGACCCCTGAGCCCGCTCTGAGCCGTCCAGTGACCCCTGAGCCTGCTCTGAGCTGTCCAGTGACCTCTGAGCCCACTCTGAGCCGTCCAGTGACCCCAGAGCACTCCCATGAAGAGGTCTCACAGTTAAAGCCCATCGGGAGTCAGCCTCCAAGAGCCCTCTGCGGGCACTCCAAGCCGCCAAGAGCCCTCTGCAGGCGCTCCAAGCCTCCAAGAGCCCTCTGCGGGCGCTCCAAGCCTCCTCAGAGGCTGTACCTGAGCCTCAGTCGGCGGCCCTCTCGGAGGCTGTACCTGAGCCGCAGTCGGCGGCCCCCCTCGGAGGCTGTACAGTACCTGAGCCGAAGTCGGCGGCCCCTTCCGAGTCTGTTCCTGAGCCACAGTGGGCGGCCCCTTCCGAGTCTGTTCCTGAGCCGCAGTGGGCGGCCCCTTCCGAGTCTGTTACTGAGCCGCAGTGGGCGGCCCCCTCCATGGTGGTTCCTGTGCCGCAGTGGGCGGCCCCTTCCGAGTCTGTTCCTGAGCCGCAGTGGGCGGCCCCCTCCATGGTGGTTCCTGTGCCGCTGTGGGCGACCCCTTCCGAGGTTCCTGCAGCTGCGTTTGAGACGGCATCGCTGTCGGCCTCCTCCAGAGACCCTCCGTCGTCAGAGACGGATTTGCCGTCGGCCTCCTGAGCTTCTGCCCCGGCCTCCTGAGACTTTGATTCTCCTCCGCCCACCCTGGGTGGGTTGTTTTGTTTTTTGGACTCTGACTTTTGTTTTGTGTTTCTTGCCCTCCTTCCTGGTTCCCCCTCCGCCCACCCATTTTAGGGCGTCTGGGATCCGCCCTTAAGTGGGGGGTACTGTCATGGTTTTGGTTATGTTATGCTTTACTTTGCTCCTTGTTTTCTAGTTTTTATTGGTTCAATTCCTTTTTTGCTGTAATTTCTAGATTTATGTTAGTTCTCATTTTGTCCTCTGTTGTCGCTGCAATCGTCTCCCCTCGTCTCTCCCTGGCTCCTTCTACGTGTTTTCCCTTGATGTCTCCATGGTTCTGGTCTGTTACATTTTAGTTGGATTTTTGGACTGCCTTTGTTAACCATTTTTTCATTAAAACTACAAGTATTCACCTCAGCCTCTCTGCATCTGCATTTGGGTCCAAACCTCAACCAAGACTTGACAGAGAGATCATGCTGTCTATCTGCTTTGAATACTGTTCTGTTCTGAGTATTGACACTGACAGAAGAGAAAAGGTAAAAGTTATATGATTAATAAAGATTTACTTACTAAATCACAAAATAAAACAAGAGGATTGTGTTATCTAATGTCACATGACGTAATTACTCTCACTTCTCACTTGCTCCAAAGAAGCCCAAAGTTGAGACCAACTCAGCTAGACATTAAGGATTAAAAACTCAGGACTTTTTATTAAGAAACCTCCTGTCTCTAAGGTTAAATGTACTACCCTTTCCTCTTTTTATAAGTCATGACTGACACAGGTCTTCTAACACAATGGTGTGTCTGAAGTAACCCAACATCAGAAGAATAAAAACTTCCTTTTTGTGGGGGTGTGAAATTTACTGTAGAAAAATATCAGCAATACAGGCACATCCAAGCTGACTTCTCTCCAATTTTGAGATTGCAAAATTTTTATTTTATAGGTTTCTTACCTGTGTGAACCTACCTACCAGGTAGATTGGGCAGACAGAACAACATAAATAAACAAATTTATAACTTCAAACCTTTTCTTTGTTATCAGTACAATATTGCTGAGATTATTAAGTGAATCGTTATAAATGACCTATGATATCATGATAATCTAGCCTTTATATTTTTACTCAAATTCTAAATAATATTGATCTTTATGCCTAATAAACATTATTTTAAAACTTGGGTTTTCATTAAAGCCCAGTCTTTCCATCTTCTAACAATATTCAAGTGGTTTGAAGATGCACTTATATGCAAAAGTATGCTAACCCCTAGGACACTTTTACATTTTCTCACTTTGCAACCAAAAACTTTCAATTGCAATGGCCTTGGTGATATATCTAAATGTTTTAATGACAACATTTTCAAAAAAAAAAACTTATTTGATTCCTGCACCTAAGAAAGATTAAAACGAGGTTAAAAAATAAAATAATTCATAAAATTACTGCCTGTAGTTTGTGGATTTAAAAGCAAATAAAGAATTGAAAAAGGCTCTACTGCCCTCTCTGAGTAAATCCAACTACAGTCTTAATGCCATGGTTCAATCCCTTTCAAGTATGGAGTGCAGTTAATGAAACACTTGACAATATGGCTGTATTACTGCTTCCAATGAACGATCTTTTTCTCTGTCATAGCAGTGGCTTGTAATTGAGATGTGAGGGCAGTTTCACATAAATAAACAGGACTAGTTTATCTTTTGCAGCATGTTGATGTTCAAGATTGTTATTTTTATGTTAGAGTCTTATATATTAGATAATGTGTAATGAAAAATATAAAGAGGGTTCAATTACTTCTTTGATTGATTGACAGAACATTAAAACGGTACCATCTAATATAAGAAAAAAATAGAGTTTGCACAACACCTGTACATGCATTGGTTGGCAAGCTTCCTGCCACAGATGTCTCTAATTCACTTTTAGCTAATAGTGGGTGTGTTTGGCTGTTGGTCCAGCCTTGTCGCTGTGCAATTGTTCAGAGTTAGCTCCTGCCTTCCTTCATTTTGCTTAGATTGGGTCTCCTGTCAGCTCTACAGCCTTCTAGGCTTTAGCGTCTGGAACTCTCTGACTGCGTCCGCTGCATCTTGTCGGCCGAACGGCTGGAATCATCCTCGTTCTCTGGGCACGGACTAAAGTGTCAAACCAGGTTACTGACTCACGCATTCATAATCATCCTCCATCAGATTATCATGGTCACTAACCTGTGTTTCTCTCTTGTAGACCAGGGGTGTCAAAGGGGTTCCAGAAAGGGCCGTGTGGCTGCAGGTTTTCTTTTCAACCACACCAGACTCCAGTCATGAGTGCAATCTCAACCTGATGACTTGATGAAATAAATAAAGTCTGGTGTGCTATTTCTTGGTTGGAAAGAAAACCTGCAGCCCCATGGCCCTTTCTAGAACCACTTTAACAACCCTGCTGTAGAGGTTCCTTTCTTAGATGCCCTAGCTGCTGCAACTGCAGGTCTGCAGATCCGGCTTTTTGAGTTTTCCCACTGTCTGTCTTGCTTTGAATACTAGGTCCCTCTGTTCTGAGTCATTACAGTACTACAGTATCCTCTGCTGGGAAAACTCTATGTCACCTTAGATCACAATCGAACTTCTTGATGGAACGAAACCAAACTCCAAAGGTGAGATGACGTTTATCATTCTGAGCCATTAAAAATCCGACATTTAAATGCACTGTGTCAAAAGGTACGCAGCTCGTTTGATCAGATCAAACTGGTTGTGTTTTAGATCAGCTGGAAAAAAGAAGATCCTCTGTTTATAAAAATCATATGTATGATGGTTTTTATAGTATTCTTACTCCTAAAAAGAGAATCAGACTATATGTGAAGTAAAAACTTCACATATAGTCTGATTTCTATTGAATTTCTTTGTGTCAGCATTTAATCTATTAGTATTTATATGCTACTTAATGTTGTTAAATTGGCTCTATTTTAATAATTTCGTAACTCTACCACTCTTGCAACTATCAGAACTGGCTGTGGCACGGTGGCATGTTTATCCAAGCGAACTCATGATTTAGCATTGGGTAAATTACCGTTTCACAGACAGGTTGTTTTGGATAGCTTTATTCCATCTTAGCTGAAACTATTATATGAAACTTTTTTTTTGTATTTACTCTAGTCATCTTTGTCTCATATTAAAACGTATCGGATAAACTTGATATTTAAAACCAACAAAGAAAATTTTTTTTTATGGATTTCAATACTGGTTAAAAGCACTGTTGCAAATTTTAAATGACGTTTATAGTTAATTGGTCATATTGGTTTCATGTTACAGATTACATAAAAAAGGATTAAAGAAAGCATGACTTTGGGAGCAAATGTTAACACAGAGATCTAAATAAATGATGAAACACACTTTCACTCATTTTACAGGAAAAAAATGTTTTACTGAAAAAAAAACTACAGTCATTTTATAATTTTATACCATATGATTGTAGAAACATAAACACAGACATAGATGGACATCAATGATATCAGTTACAAAAGTTTAAAATACATCTACTCTGCTTTTCTTTTTAACAAGTGAGAGTAAAATGCTTTTTAAGAGTTTAACATCTTAATGCAGGTCAAAGGTTTACATACAGTGTTAGGTCATATGAGCTAATATATAAACAAAGACAATTAGCATTCAATTAAAATTCTGAATTAACATTTTATCTTTTCATGGCTGAAGCTGACAAAAAATATCAGTGGTCTTGAATGAGCTGGCATGCTCTTGCAAATTCTAACAAAGTAAATGACTCAAGTTTTTGACAATCATACCGCACAGCAAAAAGAAAAACCACCTCCCCACAGATAACAAGTAGCTAGTAAAGGGCTTATTGCAAGTGCAGCGACCGAGTCTCTGAGCATCCAGCACCTGGTGTGGGGAACGGTCGGGGGTCAGCGGCTGGGTAGGGTGGTGTTATTGGACCACGCAGTCAGAAAGGCCTCCCTAATCATCTCTGTGAGTGCTTTAGTGTCGTTAGTGGAGGAGGTATACCATATGAGCGCAATGGATATAGCTGTGGGGGAAACTGCTGACCGCTGGGCTAAGTTAATGGAAGAGACCACAGGCAGTGGGTGAATATGGCCTGAATTCAACCAGGGAGAGAGATTTAGTTTCGACGGTCGTTGTGGTCTGTTGCTGAGGACAGTGTGACGATGAAGTTGACACGGTCTCCTCTGGGTGAAGTGTTCGCCTCTAAGAGTTTTTGCAGACCATCTTCATTGTGATGGTCTTCTGTTCTGTGTACTCCCTTAGGCCACTTTCTCCTCTAAAACAGGAAACAGTAATAGCTTTGATTATGCAAGATAATATACACTCCTAGACCAGATGTTTACATGAAATATATACAAGACAAATAACCTTTTTAATACTTACTCTCTTAAATGTCATTAAATGGGTACACATTATTTTTGTAAGCTAATTGCTGCAAAAACAGGAAATACCTTTTTCTTTTTGTCTGTTTTTTTTTCTTTGAATTAAGTAAATGGTATAATTGCATTAAGAGGCTCCATACAATAGTTTGCAGAAATAATGCAATCTGTCTTTAAAAGTCTACCTGTTCCTCACAAATAAATAAATTGTAAAAACCCTGTATTTGTCTTTTTGCACACAGATCTGCTAACGCCCCTCTCTTTTTCTTTAAATGTAACAATAGCAATAGTACTGTATATATATATATTTTTTTTAAATAAATGCTGCTTTCTTTTCTATAGATTGTCAATGATTTTGCAATAGCAAACATTGCATTGGAAACGTTTCTTCAAATCCAAGCACAAGTATGGCTGCAATTTAACTCCATGCTGTGAATTAGCCTATAAAAGCTAAAGAAATATCTTTTCAATTGTTTGAATGAATAGTAAATTCATGCTAACTTCTGGCCTCCAACAACCTTTGTCAATATTAGACTGTAAGAACTACAACGTTGTTAAATGGTCTAAATAAAAATTGTTCTTAAACTGTACACTGTTGCAGATGCATAACATATTAAATACTAAAAATTTTTAAAGAGCTATTTGAGTTGAAGAAATGTTGTTTTGAAACACAAAGTCCATTTCAGAGATATTATGGCTAACCTGTGTACATAGGGAAGGCAAAATATATATATATTATACTTACAATTCACGTCCATTGCCAGACATTTTGTATCCTCCAAACGGACACTGTGTGCTCAGAGCATTGAAGCAGTTTATCCTGGGAAATACACAAAGCATTGATCAGTCTGATGCATTTGACTCCTATGGTTAGCTTCAAAGTTAAGTACAACATAAGCTGCATTAAGGAAGACAGCTCTGAAATATATCGCAGTCATCACTACAGGCTGTTTTTATAACCTGTTGAACCCCATCTAATAATCCTGGTGCTGCTCGAATGAGTTCAGTTACAACTGGCTGGGAAAGAACTGTTAAAATGATTTCGGATGAAGACAACTTAATTTAGGTAATACTAAAAGACACGCATTACTGCTGGTAAAATTTACAGAATTAAAGTTTTTCCTCTTAAATTAGTAAATGTTTTCATGTAGGTTTTGGGTATCAGACATACTTTGATAACATATGCTTAACGGTTATGTGAGTCTATGCTACATGAAAACTGAAGGACAAAGTTGTAATATAAATGTTTGTTCAGCTACCAGACCACGGAGGTAAAGGCAGCAAAACATTTCTGGCAGATGCTGTGTGTTAGCTGTACTTCTGCTATTACTCGTAACCATCTGAAGGTAATTACAAATGAAACCAAACAACCCTGAAAGAACTCAACAAGTGATTGTATAATTCCTGCATACACATCTGATTACACAGAATCTTGTTCTCACAAATTCCATCTCACATTTCTGTGAGTCTTGGGTGAAAAAAAAACAAAAAAAAACAGAGTGTGTAAAAATAGTTAGAGTGTGGTGTCAGTTTACAGGTTCTGGACGGCTGAAATGTTTAATTTTTCCCACATGAAAAATTGAGCTTTTTACAGAAAACCAAACTCACCACACAGTGCCGGCCTGCAAGGCTGTGGTTATGGTCATGGCTTTGTTGATGTCACTGGTGAAAACAGCGGCAACCAAACCATAGTCTGAGTTGTTGGCCCTTTCAATCACCTCTTCAATCGTTTTGAACTTCATTATTTGCTGGACTGGGCCAAAAATCTGCAGGCAGACAGAAAAAAATTCTCATTTCTAAAGAGAGAGGGCAAAGAAATATGTTATCAAAGAATACATTTGTATTTGTATTAGCAGTGTCACATCATAATGTATACATTATGATGTGACACTGCTAATTTAGGTATGTTCTGTACGGGATCTCATCAAATCTTGTTTTTATTTCTTTTTTCGTTCTAAACTTGAATTCATGGATGCTATATTTGGAGCTTTTCTAATAACACCCACTCTGACTATCAGTCAGTCATTTAAGTTGTCTAACATGTCATTCTTGAAGTCTCAAATCCCTTTACTGATATGTTAGGGACATTCCCAATGTAAGCATATGATCGTCAAATGTATGGAGCATAGAATAACCCTCTCTACCCTTCTCTGCACACTGTTGGTCAGACTGTGAAAGAGGGCTCCACTTTCTTTTGCTTACAATAAGGACAAATTTAGCTTTCTTTAATATACTTAAGGTTGGGAAAGAACCTCATCAGGTCATTGAATGCCATTTTTAATTTTGAAATAATTATTAATAATTTTAAAAGCTGTTAAGTAGTTTAAAAAAACACAACATACCATATATATATTTATATATATATATATATATTTTTTTTTTTCATCGTGTTTTGTTAAATTGTACATATAGAAGAAAAAGGTTCAAATAAGTTATTACTGAAATATGCTAATACTACTCCTAAAACTAATAATAATCATAATAATAACGCTTTATTACTCATATAAACATATTTTTGGAAAAAAGCAATGCTTTATGGACCTTATCCATATTATCTTGACTTTCTCTAATTTTTCTCTTGTAAAAACATAACTTACTTCAACACCTGCCGTCTCATATATTAACTTATATGTGTTGAAATGATTTGTAATTTTTCTTCTGTCTAATGTTTTACCTCTTCTCTGGCGATACGCATGTCGTCTGTCACGTTAGAGAACACGGTGGGTTCAATGAAGAACCCTTTGAGGCCCAGAGCTTTGCCTCCACACTCCAGCTTGGCACCTTCATTGATGCCGCTCTGGATGAACTCCAACACACGATTCTGCTGCTCCCGACTGATCTGCAGAGGTCGAAAATATTCAAATTCACACACATGATTAATCTGAATTCACCTGCATTGCACCAGTCCAAAAATTTGTCTTTAGATTTCATTGACTAACCAAAATAATAGGATATGCAGGGATTTGGACATAGAAAGCTAAATTTAACAGATTTAAAAAAAGATATAGGTAAAAAGGTAAAAGATTAAGCAAACTAGATTTCACCTGTGGACCCTGCTCAGTTGTAGGGTCAAAGGGGCTGCCGACTATCCTCCTTTTGGCTCGTTCCACGCTCCTTCGGACAAACTCATCATATATGGAATCCTCCACAAAAATGCGTGAACCTGCTGTACAGCATTGGCCTGCGTTGAAAAACACGCCCTGGTGGGCCTGTTCAACCGCCACATCCACTGTGAAGAAAAGACTTTTTAGCAAATCAATACATAAAAGAAGTGACTTTCTCATTAAGAGAAACTATTGACTATAAACAATCAACAATTGTTCTACTGCTGGAAATGTCGTAGGAAAGACATTTTTGCTGATGCTGTAGGCATCCTATGCAAATCCGACACCAACAGGACGGAAAGGGTTAATGGACCCCTTCTGATTTATTAGTTTCGGCTGAAGCACCCAACTGAGTCAGGGTCCATTCTCTTGATTTACAGGCCCCAGTGAGCCCCTCTCACGCCTGTTGAAAGCATTTGAAAATGTCTGCCCCCTTACTTTGGTTGGGCACCTCCAGGTTGCATAAAACGCATTCAACCAGAACTTTTCAAAGCACATTAAGGCTTTAAATCTTTTCAATGATATAAGGTAGTCTTTTATTTGAATAAAATGCTGACAGAGACAAATAGGCTTGTTAGATCATTAGAAAACAAAACATGATGTTTGCCCCTTTCATGTTGGACAAATTCTGTGATTGTTGTCTTTAACTTGCTGTAAATTACAGTGAAAAGCAATAAAAAAATACACACACATACACTTGCACAAACAGATAACATCACATAAATTAAATAATTTTGTTTCATTGCATAAAAGTGTTTCAGTTTTAGTAGCTCAATAAATATCGAATCCAGGGACTATCATCAGGGTTTGATATCCATTATTGCTAATGCATAAGCTGAGTTTTGTGATTTGTTTATCATATTTAATCCCTAATGAAAATGTCTTATCTAAAGGTAGAATATCACTGTCTCTAACAAAAAGTGTCTGCTGTCTGTTTCTTAACCTTTTCAGTATCTTAAGTTTCTAAGAAATCCATCTTCATCTTGGTTGGAGGATAAATAACGATGCATTAATTTGAGAGATTGTTGGGATTTATAAATATTTTTTGACAATGTTTGAGGAGGTTCAACCTAACCTTCCAAAGGCAATAAGTGGTAAAAATGTTAAATAGTTAAGAAAAAAATCTTAAAATGAGCTGATTTTTTCAGCTCTTTAATCTGACAGTGAACATTTGAATAAAAGCAGAAGAAAATATTGTTTCTTACTCTATTAAATGAACCCTTGCTTTAAATATTTTTGCTCTATCAGTCTTCTTTGTCTGCAGGACAAAACCTAATACCAGCTACACTATTCCACAAAGTTATATCATTCAGTGAGAGGGTTTTACAGTATTCCTCTTTGAAACATCTGTCTAGATTTTTCTGTCCAGTCAGTTCCAGCTGTTTTAAATATTCCCAATTTTACTTTGACTTTAGTCTTATTTGAATGACATTTTATTGTTTTCACACACTGAGGAGCAACAATGAGAGAGAATTACATATGAGAAACAACACCTTTAAGGGGAAAAAATGCATAAAGGTATTTAGTTACATTTTTCCCCCCAGCAATTTTTAGTGGAAAAAAGTGAATGGTCACTATGTATGAAAGTCTATTAAATCTAGAACTTTACTGTATAGATGAGGATCAGAAAGATGTAACAGCTGGATATGGTGGTGTGAGACATTGTCATAATGGTACACGTTTGGGCTAATAGTTATTTTTCACTGTGTTACACTGCCATAAAGAAAGAGTTAGAGATGTTGGTTCTTTTGTTTTAAGTTTGACTGGATACGGGAAGTGTGCGAGGCCATTCATAATACCATTGAGTGGCGATGTGAGAATAAAAAAGAAATTAATTTGCCTTTTCTAATGTGTTTTTAAAGCTTTGTAAGTTTCAGACGTTTTGAGGCTCCTCAAATAGCACCTAATTACTGTATGGCAGCAATATTTACAAGCAGCAGCTGGAAGAAGGCCATTACATATTCTAGATACAAGCACTTTGACTGCTTGGAAACTTACAGTCTGCATCTGCAAATATGATGTTGGGATTCTTCCCTCCCAGCTCCAGCGTTATTCTCTTCAGGTTACTCTTCCCCGCCGCCTCTTGGATTAGCTTGCCAACCTTGTGGAAAGAACAGATTCAAAGTTTACCAAGAGAGATAGGCTTGAAGCCAGTTTAGTAAATCATCCCAAGACACTGAATAAGTTGAAGAAGCTGCTTTGCTCCAAACAAGGAATGCAGCAGTCGGCCAGCTGCATGAAACATGAGTTCAGCAAACACAGAGCATGAATATCGATTACGGGTTTTTCGCAGACACCGGCAGGAAAACAAAATGATGTTTCAGCTTGGAACAGCATCTGATATGTAGCAAGGGGCAGGAAGAGGCAACCACAAGGTGTGTGGGTGGTGTCCTGTGATCCAGCCAACTGTGGGAAGTTTTGTTTGCTATGAAACTGGTCCAGTGTTCTGATATGAAAAACCAGTGGGGATTTGCCTGTGGCTTTTTTCCTTATCTTTCTATTATCATTGTTTCCTCTTCACTTCTTATCAGGAGAGATTATATCACATAACCAGCACTGGAGAACAATAAATAAAGCATTTAAGAGCTACATTCTTTGTTGAGAAAGCTTTGGGGAAAACCCTCTTTGGTCAGAAAACTCACATGCATAAATGATTTTAAAACCGCATGTTTAGTATTACAAGCAAAAGTTTTGTCATTTTACAGGTCATAATTTTAGGCTATACATTTTCACATACTTTAACTTGAGAATTGAATCCCGTGCTGGCTTTGCCAGTTGTTTTTATGCTGCAAACTGCTGTTATGGTTTGTTATTTAATTCTATTTATATATTGGCAAAGAACAATTTTCCTCTTTAAAGAGTTTAGGGTAAAAAAATAAATAAATCCGTATTTCTGAGACATTGCAAAGCAGACAGATAAGAAACCTTTAAAATCCTCCCATATTAGCTCCCTCACAATCCAACACCCCCTGGTAAGTACTCATCTTTCCTGTTACTCACAATCCCTGTTTTACTTTCCATAGAAACAGACAAGATTAAGTGGAAAAGTACCCACTCAGTGTCTAAACTAAAACACTCCAGCTCATGGAAAAGCATCATCTTCTTTCAGTATCTTTCTGCGCAAACTGATGATAAGAGAAAAGTTTAGCCCGGTTCTCAAGCTGCATAAAAACAACGCTTGCTTTGACTTTGTACTTTAAAAGATATATTGTCTGGCTTTGATCAGAAACATAAAGTGGCTGACTCAGTGGAGGTTTGCATTTGCTTATCCCAGAGTAAAGGAAAGCATGCTGGGTCTTTAGAGTCCTCTATGTAGAGTACTAGTGATACATGAGTCAGGATGAGTTTTTCCCTCTAAAATCCACCTGTAGTTCAAACTCTGTGAGGGGATGCTTGTGTCTTTCCCCATTTCTAATACAGCCCAGTGACTCATCGTCTGGGCATCAGCCGTCTCTGACAGTGACGCCTTTTTTGCACACTAATTGACTCCAGATAATATAAAAACAACAGGGAAAACAGTCAAAATAAACTGGGGCACTCGTAAAATGTGAACATATAATTAGGAAAAGATTTATGTTTCTGTGTTTATGTTGTCTTATCTTAATCAGACACAGTAAGAATATGATTTGCAGTATACTCAGAAAAATCCAAGATAATCTCCATTTAAGCTCTGCAAGGTCACATACTCATATAGATGATGAAGTTGTAACTTTTATTTTTACTATTTCTAAGTCTTTTTGAAAGTAATATATCTGATTACGTCTGAATAAAACAGGCCAATTACTTTGTAACTCAGCTTCAGGTTGTTTTCAGGTTTAATGTTTGTCAGGTAATTAATTAAACTGTTGCAGAAATTTGCAGATTACATTGTTGCAGATATTTAAAAAAAAATCTATATCAGTGTAAATAGTTTTTATGTAAACAAGAATCAAAATAGGAATCTAAACTAATGTAATCTAATCTGCTGACAGTTCCACCAGTACCGCTGCCTGCTCATGGGGCTTCATCTGGAAGAATGATTTCAGCAGTACTTTGGTCTATTCAGTCTAGCAGTACCTCATCTACAACACCTATCCCTTTCGCTTTAAATGCCGTTCTTCCACCATTTCCATTGCTCTAAACAGTCCTTCATATCGCCAATTGTTCATTAACTGGCTCCACTTGCTGCATCCAAGATTGATGTGAATGACCTTAAAATGTTCCTAAACTGAACGAATAACAACAATAAAATCATAATAGATGTATCCATATCACTTTCTTTGTGTCCTGTGGTTTGATAAACAATAAATAACCAATTAAAGAGAAGTATTGCCTATGTTGTATTTCAATGACCTCACCATGACTGATTGAAATAGCTCTAACCAATAGCAGCATGACCTACTTTGTGATTATTTGACTAATAATCAAGATGTAAATGGAATGGATGAAAATCTTTTAAAGATAGACTAATCTGTGGAACATGTTTTCAATGTACCAACATAGATAGGAAAATAATAGGAAACTGGGGTAAAATTTGGTTTTCCCCTGTTTTGTAATATTTGTCGTTGAAACAGTCCATAACAGCCCCTTTATCAGGAAACTCAGAAATGATGCGTGTTGTTGCCTTCAAAGAGTAATAAGACATTTAGCTAATTTACCTGGGGAAAAAAAGTTGCTCATATCCCCATTTCTCACCCATGCATTGGCATCTATCTGTTGTTACTGTTTTGTTAATCTGACTTATTAATAAATGACGTGATTTTGAAATCATGATTGATTTTCAGTCTTGATAGACATAGGCCAACATTGTGTCATTCCCATTAGGTAAATGGGGACGAAAAATACAAATATTGGCTTAAAAGAACAGCACCACATACTGTATTGGGAATTGGTTAGACTGATCCAGTCCAATTTTATTTGTAAAGCACTTATAAAACAAACACAGCTGACCAAAGTGATGTAGGTCTGTACCTGTATCTGTTGATCACTCATTTTTGCTCACAGTTAGTGACGTAACTGTAAGTCCCTTCCTGCAAGTAGATATGATCTATTTGGGTTGCAGCATAGATACCTATCAATGATTTAAATAAAATGCCAGTGCATCAATAACTGCAGCAATTTTGTCTTTGGTTAGCTAGATTTCAGTTTTAGCATTTCTCTATGTGGCTCCAAGCAGTGGAGTGTTATGTCTGAGCATGCAGAGGCTTATCAGATGTTGCTTACAGCTCAAACATACATGAATCAGAGGAGACATGGTTCATTTTCAAAGGTACTTCATAAACACATCGTTTTTGCATTGCTGTGAAGGATTAGAACAGAGAATGTAGTCAGGTGGACATGACAGATGTTTATAAATTATCTGCAGAGACGTTACTTGCTGTCTCTCTGATGTCTGCCGCAGGAATCTGTTCAGACCACAACACTCAACACCTAAAATGGTATTTCCTTTTGCTTTGCATTCACTGCTTTCCTGTTCTATAAAACAAATCGAGGTTTATCCGCTCTAGATCCAGTTAGATAAAGAAAAAAAGTTTTTAACATGGAAGAGAAAGCTGAAATTATTTGCACTATATATATATATATATATATATATAGTGCAAATAATTTATATATATTATAAATTATATATATATATATATATATATATATATATATATATATATATATATATATATATATATATATATATATATATATATATATATATATATATATATATATATATATATATATATATATATGCACTAAATCTCAAGGAAATATATTTTATACTATAAGAGGGAAAATACCAAACCATATATTTAAATACTCTGTATAAAACTATATGTACCCTGTATTTCCTCACTGTGTCACATTACATCAAAATACATTTTAGGTCAATAAAGGGTGCAAAAATATGATATTTACTAAATGCCAAAAAAAACTAACAATATAGTTTTTTCAAAACCTATTTTTACCATCTCCTTCATATTCACAACTTTATATGAATTAGGCAATTCCCTTAATTTGAGTTAGCTTTTTTAAAGCAACTCCCCACACAACCTTATAGCTTGACATTATGTGGAAGTTTTAAAAGAATCCTCAGAGATAGCAAAAGGAGAATAGTGGATCTCTATTTGTTTGGTTTATCCTAGGGAATGCTTTCCTGATTCCTGAAGGCACCACATTCATTTGGTCAAATAGTCAAATGCAAGCAAAAAGACCATGGGAATCTTCAGCCGACATACCTTTGAGAAAAAAGATTTTTTTTTTTTTTTTTTGTTTGTTCTAAAAATATGTTTTTTGGTTGAAAATGTGCTTCCAGTATAAACCAAAAATTACAATTTAGGAAACTTGTGAAGATGATGACTGAAGCTAAGAGAAATTTTCCAAAGAAAAATGTCCTGCCCTGATATGGACTGAAAGGCCAATCAGAGAGGAAGAAGCCATTTTCTTAAAGGTACAGTTAAAGAACAAAAGACAACTCCACTCATCTTTTTTGAGTGGCCTTAAGACTAATTGTTTAAACAATGACCATCATTATATTTGGAGGGAAAAAGGAGGGAACCTGCCAGTCTAAGGTCACCCTCCAAACTATGAGATAGAGAGAGGTAGCATCATAATGTTTGGTTGTTTTCTATAGAAGGGACTTTTGCACTTCACAAAATAGGTAGAATTGTTAGAAAAGATTACCATTACATTGTTGTTCCTAAAATAATGGTGAAAGTCTTTTTGTTTGTTTTTATTTTTAGTAAAAAACTAAAAAGTTCACAAAAAAAAGTCACATTCTTGACACAGACTATTATTAAAGTAGGGGTGGAAATGCATGATACACTCAACTGGTGATATTGTCCATTTTGCAAGCAGTGACCAGCAACATGAGGAGGTAATTTAGGCTAAAATGTAACTAATATTTTAGGAAGGTAACAATATAGAGATGTTGAAGCAAAATAGCAATTAGGAAGTAAAGGTTTAAACACAAATTGGTGTTCCAAATGGAAGATGACCAAAAGCACGTTGCCAGATTAGTTGTGTTTTAAACTGATTTTTAATTCTCTCTGCCTAAGTCTTCTTGTACTTAAAAAACGAACAATTTTAGTATTCCCAACTGTTGTATAAAAGAAATAATAGTTTACTAGTTTACTATCAGACAGCAAAAAACAATTATATGATTATTTTTATTCAGTGTATGTAAATATCTGGTTTTAACCAGATGTGCATCTGTGTAAGATAAAATCAAAGCCTCATCACAAGAATTAATGACATGTTATGCATCTTATGTAAGATCCCATTTGTTTGTTATTAGGACTACGCACACAACATCCTCTTATTACCCACTCTGCTCCTTATGCTCTGCACATGTTGGTCAGTGTGTCACTTGTTCCCTGTGACAAAAGCAAGCAAGCAGCAGCTGGAGATCTGAGAAATACAAACCTCAGTTGATCCCGTGAAAGCAACTTTGTCTATGCCCATGTGCGAAGCAATTGCAGCTCCTGCTGTTGGACCGTATCCTGGCAAAATATTGATGACTCCCGGTGGAAACCCAGCCTGTCAAAACAATATGAGAGGAAACAAGCTTTAGCGGAGATGACAGCAGAGCCAAGCAAAACCGTAGGCGTTGTGGGGGGAATCCAGACCCCACCCAACCTGTCTTTAACTAGGGACCAAGATCATAAGGAAGAGGGCTCCAGACAGATAGTCTCCTAAACAAAGAAGGCGCAGCTGAAGAGGACACACCGGAAAACGAGCAGATGTGGACACTTAGATTTGCACATAACTTAGTGGGACTGGATCGTAATATGAGCCTGCATCGTTCCTGTGCTGTTTAACTTACACATCTGTTTATTTTTATTTTGTTCAGACAGCTCAGTCTCAATCTTGATTCTTAAAAGCAGAAGAATATCTGCGCAAGTGCACTGTGCAATGCACTGCAACCCATTTAGCACACACTACTGGTTTAAAATGAAAAACACATTTGTTAGAGTTCTTAATCATACTTTCTGATGACTCAACTGTCTTAGCTGAACTGTTTGTATTACATTATGAGATAATACTTTAGATCTTTTATTTGGTATGTCAGCGTTCTCTTGTGACGTGTCAGCGTTTATATTTCACAAGTGTTCAGGTTAAATCTGTGAAATAACAAACAAGTATCCAAATTCCACTTCTCTAAAGCTAAGAAAATCACCTTGCTTTAAAGATAAAAGAAATGTTCACAACTGCGTAAAATGTTAAGTTTTTGAATATTGCCTCCAAGCAGCCAGACAAACCCATCGTTGATATAAAACCACACCTTTGATATTAGTTGTGGTTTTATTATTTTTTCTGAGTCAGGTCTCTATGATGGATTTGTTCTTCTTCAATTTAAATTTTTAGAGTCTAATTATAAAGTAAACTGAAATGACTCAATTCTTTTGTACAGTACTTTCATATGATGAAGTAATAATTTACTTTCTCCAAAAAAAACAACACTTATTTAAGCATCTAGAGTCACTTGTGGTGTAAAAGCTCCAATAGAAAGCAGCACTGACAAACTTCTATGACTATATTATTAGGAAATTGTAAATAAAACAATTATTAAGAACTGTTTTGATGTGCAGGGAGATAAACCTTTCTCTAAAATAGCAATTTTACGTGCAGGTAAAAGTTGGTCCAATGTAATCAATTCACTTTCTTCCATTTTCATGTTCTCATTCAGCACTCTCTGCTGCACTTTATGAAATGGAAATGTTAATTTCACTGCTAAGCTGCTGCTAATTTACTGTCTGAAAGCTTTTTACATAACGAAATTTCATTTTGTACACACTATGTGTATATAAAATGACAATAAAAATTGTCTTAGTCTAAGGAAGTCTAAGCATCAGACTTTCTTCTTACTATTCAGAGCAAGAGCTCGGCTGTAAACTACAACAGCTTTTCTTTAAAAAATGTATTATCCTTCCAAAGCTGTGGATCCTTACACTTCCTCGAAAATGGCCATGGGTCTTCTTAGTTACTCTGATCGATGCACCCACTGCCCAGCCTTTTTGTTTTGTTGTTAACCTAGACCTGCCTGCTGTGTTCACGAGGCTTTCTAAACAGCCTCTGAGGATTAACTATTCAGGCAACTTCTGAATTCATCCCTGGTATCAGAGTGAAAGGAAGTGAAAACATTTTGTATGGGCTACGTTTCAGGTTTTTATTTGTCTCTTATTTTGTAGATTATTCACAATAAACCCCAAAATAAGAAAAAAAAATCCAGAACTTCACTCTAAAGATGTAAGCAAAACAATATAGCATTGGGGAAATTCACAGGTAAAATTTGTGCTTTTAGCAAAAACAAAAAAACTATAAGTATGGCAGTGTTTGTGCTATTGAGTGTCTAAAAGATATACCTCCTTGGCGAGAGCAGCTATATAGAGGCAGGTGAGTGGCGTCTGCTCAGCTGGTTTTAGAACGACAGTGTTTCCACACGCCACCGCTGGGCCCAGCTTCCACGCAGTCATCATCAGAGGGAAGTTCCACTGTGCACAACAAGCACACAAGCCAGACAAATCAAGCAACTGACACGCTGGGTGGTCACAAGTCAAGTTCAATAACTCATTGCTCTTAAGTCACTTACTCTCATTTTCATTCTGTCTAAACAAAGTCAAGTGAGAAAATGTTCTCGGCACTGGTACAGTGCTTTTTCTTCCCACAGCATTCTGAGAAAGTCGGGAAATTGCAACACATGTGCAATAGAGCCGTATCGCTATACAACACGCAGGCCTGTGTTATTTCTGCCTTACAGAGGAACCCATGGGGCTGGGGGCAGAACCACATGCTTTCTGCACGCTTGCACAATCAGCAGTGTCTCCTTCATCCTTTCTCGTCATTCTCCCTCCCTGAAAGCCGAACACGTGAAATCCCTTCTCTTCTCATTTATCATTACTCAACCTCAATGGCATAGTCATTTTCGGGGGGGGGGGGGGGGGGGGGGGGGGGGGGGGGGGGGGGGGCTTTTTGAGTGGGTCTTACCAAAATAAACAATGACTGTCAGGGAATTACTGGAAAATCATGAACATAATCCAATAAACTGGCCAGTTTCTCTTTCATACTCAGCCAGGTCTTTCTTATCTGACTTTTCATTTTCGTTCTTGTACATGTCCCTTGAAGAAAGACTTATACTCACGGGGATAATTTGCCCACAAACTCCAATAGGCTCATATCTGGTGAATGTCATATACTCTCCATCTGTGAAAGATAACACAAGCAGACATACATAGTTACAAAAATTGTCCAGTCTGAGTTACTAATTTCCAAGTTTTGCTGAAAAGCTTGAAAAGTAACTCAAACACATGTTGAAAATTCACCATCCGACACCATTGGTGTTGTCAACTCTACATGCTAATTTGTAAATGAATCCATGCTGAACATTCCTGCTTCCTTTACCCTGGTGAGAGATTACGTTTCGAGCCCTGTGTGTGTGTGCGCTTTAGGTCATACAGATGGGTGTTATGCTGGAAAGGTTTGTTCATTCCTCTTGCATTAGCTGAGTAAAAGGAGGTTGTTACGGAGGGCGTGTCATGCTTGTTCACGCTCCACGAAAACAATCTTTATTGAGAAATGTGTGTATGAATCTAATACAACAGTGGTCAGCTGATTATTGCCTAATGTTGCACTTGGAAAGAAAGATCAGAGGAAGATGACAAGCCAAATATTTAGGGGTTGTTTCTTTTGTGGGAAACAGTAGAAGATTGTAAACAGCAGTGAAACTTCCCATATGCTCATTGTTTCATTTTATTCCAATAAGGGTGCTGGATCATTTTAAAGCCGTTTGCACAGTGAGCTGAGATTTTCAAGAGAAACTCAAGTGTCTGCGAGGCTTATGTGAAACTATGACGCTGACAATCGACTTGGATTTCAATTTGGAACGAGCGATGTAAACGATACCATACTGTGTAGCCAAAGGTGCTCTACATAATGACACTCCCTATTCATGTCATGCTGCCTCTGATACAAATTTAATACCACAAGCCTGGCTTAACAAACCAGACAAACAGAGGGGGCTGTTGATGGTGGGTGTACTGCAGCGTATCTTGACAGGTGAACAAACACGGCCGCTTACATCATGCAAGCTACAGGAATATCCCGGCTTATTTAATGTGAAAAGCCTACAAGAGGAAAGAAGCTCAGAGCACAGCCCTGGGAAGAAAGCACACCGCTGCCGGTCTGGCAGCAGTGAATAACAGAAGCTTTGAGAGGAACAATGCAGTGGTATCAACAGGTTTCTCATGTCCTCGCTCTCATTCTTTTTTTCTCCTTCCTGTTGAAATCGACAGCCGACCTCTTCAAAAAGCAAATTTAACTGTGTCAAGGGGACGAAACTGGTGGCTGCAACCTTAGAACAGTGAATGGATAACAAGGATTTTGATTATCCACCAATTTGTTTTCTTTCTTGGTATAAAAACACTGTTTATGTAAAATCTATCATAGCTAAATACTGAAATCTTGGAGCTAAAGAAATTCTAAAGAACCAAGAGCTAAGTGACAAATCCTGTTTAATTCTACTATAATTTTATTGGTTTGTATAACTTGTATTTAAGTAAATCTGATAAAGGTTAACATATCCATTCATCTATCTATCTATCTATCTATCTATCTATCTATCTATCTATCTATCTATCTATCTATCTATCTATCTATCTATCTATCTATCTATCTATCTATCTATCTATCTATCTATCTATCTATCTATCTATCTATCTATCTATCTATCCATGCATCCACCCATCCATATATTCATTCATGCATCAGAAGAGAAATCTGGGTAAAAATGTTCAAAATATTTTATATTTTAGGACAGTTGAACATAAAATGTAATGAATTATAGTTTGTTAAAAATTTGTTTAAGAATTTTCCTTTAATCCTAATGAATGTCTGACTGGCAATAACTTAAATCAGACCTTTTCTTTTGTATTACCTAAAAAGTCATACAATAGAAAAATTAGGTTAATAATGTTGTATATTGTATATTGCTAAAAAAAAGAAAAGATAACTCTCTTACATGTTTGTAGATGTTTAAGAACACCCAGACGGAAATTTGTGATAAAGAAATGGTACTAAATAAAAAAATCAAGTACCGGTAATTAATATTTTTGTATTTGACAGCTTTTCATATTTTACCACAAATAAGTGTTGATTATAATCCCAATCCTAACCACCATGTTCACCCCGAAAGAATCTCATTTTGGTCTCTAAATCAATCTTCATCAATCTTATTTCCATAAACGCTGCTGTCTTTACTCAAAGGAAGCTCCTACCCATCGGAATGGAGGTTCCATGGATCTTGTCTGCATATCCAGCAAAGTACCGTAGAGTCTTTATAGTTGCCTGGAGATCCACAAACAGGGTGGGCAGGAAAGGCTTCCCACTGTTCAGCGACTCAATAGTCTAGGTCAAGAAGAGGGAGAGATATTAGGAAAAATGTGATATAACCTTGTGAACTTCACATAATTCTGAACCAATTCATCCTTTACACTCACTCACTGGTGAAAAGTGACACCAAGATAACATTAAACTATAAAATACAGCCCCTCAGTTCTCTTTAAGGCAAAGCAAATATTTCTATTTGCAAAGATGAAAAAGGCAGGTTTTTTAGAGGAAATAAAAGGTGGAGGAGGAGTTAGGAAATAAAAATGGAAAGGTAGAAAATGATCAAATTTAAAACACTTTTTAGGAACCTAGTTAGCTTTTGCACCGATGAAAATCCAAGTTGTCATGCACTTACTGCTAAATAGACGCTATCTCGCTCTACCAAGTCAGCCAGTTTTGCCAGCAGTCGTCCTCTCTCAGATGCATCCATCCTTCTCCAGACCGAGCCCAAAGAAAAGGCAAGGCGAGCAGCCTGCGCAGCTTTATCAACGTCAGCCTGCAAGATTTAATAATCACAACATAAAAACCTTATTTCTTCCTTGATATTTGACCGTATTTCCAACCAAAGAATCCATATCAGTAAGGATTACTTCTTTTCCAGAAAGGGATTTGTTAAAGAAAATGAAATTCTTTAAATTTAGAAGTTTACACACAACATGAGCTTCTGATGAAGGTCTACTGTTGTTATTATGTTAGATTTTTTTATTTTTTTTTATTTTAATACTTTGGGTTTTTGTGGACTTACCTTATCAGCTTCCTGGACCTCACAGATCTGCTCTCCAGTTGCTGGGTTGTAGACAGGGAAGACCTTCCCACTAACTGAGTCATGCCACTCATTATTGATGAAAATCTGCAGGAAGATATGCGTTCACGTTTTAGCCACATTTTAAGCTCACATTCAAAGCTGATATATTACAACAATGAGTGGAAATAATGATTACATCTGTTGATATCAAACATTTATGTCACTTTAAGTAACCAGGCTGTAATACTATAGTGGCTGCAGCAGAGTCCTTGCAGTCTTTGAAAGACTAACAGCTCTTAGGCAGTAGGCCCAGCATGTCCAGCCTCTCATGTAAGCGATATGGGAGAATCTCTGGAAATCTGGACAGAGATTCCTGTGTGTCCAGCATTGCTCTCTGGGGAGTGCTCCACCATGCAGACAAAGGGGGTGGGTGAGTGTGAGACTTTGTGTGTGTAGGTGGGGTTGGAGGGGGATAAATCCCTATCTGACACAAGACCCCCAGCCACCCCCAAGCACAAAGACACACGTTTCACAACATCAGCGCTCATTTACGAGATCATAAACCACGTGCTGTGCTTGGTTTCTGTGAAGCGTTAAAGCAAGTCTTCCGTTAAACAACCGCCTGGGATTCCAAACAGGACATCTTCAATGTCTATAAAGAGCAAAAGAAAAATAAATGTTTAGACAATTGAAGAAAGTGAGAATTGTGTCAGCAAAGTAACAGAGAGAGAATTTTTGGGGTCGGAGATGAAAAGTACAACAAAATGCGAGGTGTGTCTGTTGAAAGAGACATGTTTAGATTCATTAGGAGGAGTGCTCACAGTCTGTTTTTAATGGCTGTCAGTCCTTCTGATAGATAGAGTGCAAGGAGAACATCTGCTGGCAAAGATCCCTCTGTGTATACATGTGCTCTAACCATCCTTTTCCTCTGATGCTCTGAGAACAAATCTGAGAGGCAGGGTTCAAGTATCCCACCGGCCTCAGTCCTGCTAAACTCTCCAACGTGTTTACCCCAATAAACACCCCCTGTTAAGTACTATTTAATTGGCTGTAAACTTTTTTTTTTTTTGCATAATCTCTCAGACTGTTATGACATATAGCTTACTGACTGAGTTATGCATGAATTGTTGAGATATTTCCAAAGTTAACATCCACCACACACAGAAACACACAGGTTGCGACTCATTGCTCGGTTCTAACATGTATTCCTCTATGCCTTCCCATCTGAGGCCACCTTTAATCTGCTGCTCATTAAGAGCACTTCATAAAATTGTCAGTAACTTTAAAGAGAAGAAGGCTTGCCGCAAAAAAACAAAAAGTCCTGCAGAGCACTGAATTAGTTTTTAAATTTATAGGGGCCACTGAAGTGGGGCGCCCTAAATCAGAGAAGCCCCCCTGACAGCCTCAACAGCCTGGGCAAGAATGCAGACCATGGGTAGCTTTATCCGTGGCGTAACCCCTCTCGTTGGATGCCACTAAAGGAGAGGGGATAAAGCACAAAAAAACGCTATGGAGCAGGCCCCACCTAAATCACGGCCAGAAAAGGACCACTGTCAGCTGCCGCTTGGCTCTGCCCTCTTGCTGAGCTCAGACTGGTGCTAGACTTTTGTCCCGGTTCCATTGAGGAACTTGATTAAGATGACAGGCCCGGGTTGTAAATCAACTCTCAAGGTTTCTTAAAATTACTTTTAGGATCGCTCGGACAGGGGGCAAAGAACACAAGGATGAAAAAACAAGTGCATGGGTGCACATTTTCAAATGACTAATGGTGTTTTCTTTTCCCTTTCCCTGCAGGGTCTTTGCTATCACTTCACATAATCACTTTGAGTTTATGAAAGTTCATCAAAAACTGCAGCAAAATATCTTCTTTAATCACAAAATATTAAAGTTTTTATTTAAAACAGTTTAAATAGTTCAGTTTTGTTCATTAGATTGAATAAGTATTGCAATAGAGTCTAAGCTGAGATATACAGAGCCGTGCAAAACTGATTATGACCTTTAAACTATTTCTACATGTTTTAAATATTAACTTAGGGTCTTTTTGGGAGAGTATTTTATCAGACAGGAAGACATGACTTACTGGTAGGAACATTTTATGTAAAATCTTCACAAATAAAATCTGAAACTGGTCAATTCTTTGAATAAAAACCTTGTACTATAAGTAAGCCTTACCAGACTGAAAATGTTTTCCATTCTTTTCAGTAAAATAGTAAAATAGTAACATGAAATGAATGGGCTTTGACATCGATTTAATTAGATCATTGTCTGGAATTTGATTTGGCAATTTTAGAACATCATTATACTTTGAACCATTTAATTGTTGCTTTGATTGGCCATTTGTAGCTTTCCATCCTCAATGGCCCTGTATTAAGTCATATTTTGAGCATTTTCCTATCCCAGCTAAAGAATAACTTTTATAGCAGCCCATGTCCTCTACCACATTTTAATGTGGAGATGATGTATGAAAGTCGATTTTAATAGTTTGATTTTGTTTTCCAGCAAAAACAGGGTTTTAATTGTTAATCAAAAAAGTCAATTTTGGTCTAAATTTCTGAGGCACATTGTTCCATATGATTGCTGTTATAAATACTGTATGTAGAATTTATCTCAGAATATTCTCCCAGTTGAGCTGTAGATTTCTGCAGCTCCTCCAGAGGGCCATGGTTTTTCTCCTGACAGAACAGCTTTTTAAAACTGAAATGACTAAAATTACAATCTATTTAAAGTGATCTATGAAGAAAATTGGTTACTAAGGTAAAATGGACTGGATAAAGATGATAACTAGACTGAAATAATATGTGATTTAGTTGCCATACTAACCAGAGAATAGCATTTGATGCTAAAGCTGCATCCGTCGGCTTAGAATCAGAAACATGCACATATACACAACTATGCAGATCGTTAGGAAGCTTAAGGTTACATGCTTGCTTAAGGACACTCCACTGAGCCACAGCTGACTCAATGAAAGTGACTCGTAATTTCAAAATGAAATGTTTGCATATGCATTTTAACAGCTTTGCATAGTTTTGTTTTTTCTTCACATTCATGCTGGCTTATTGGGAGAAATCCAAATGCGTTAAAGTTTGTAGGTATATCTAAAAAGGTTAAAGGTTAAAGAGTGTTAATACTTTTGCAAGGCACTGTGCGATGCACACCTGAGGTAGATGAGAGCATACAAGCCAAGAATGTCTGCACAGGTCACAGGGCAGCTGCAAATATTTAGCAGCGGCTGTGCTTTTTAGTGAAAGCTGTCAGTCATGTCACCTGCCTGAGCTTTATTTTGAGTTTAACCTAAAGATAGGATATGATGTAAATGTAAACACACATGTTTTAAAGTTATGCTTTTTTTGTCACTACAGTTTTAATCAGCTACAAATTGCTTCCTTGTGTAAAGATATTATTTTTGACAATGACTTTCCTTTAAAGAAAACCGTTGAGTAAAAGGTTTTCCTAACATTTTGCGACAATTATTTTTTTAAGTGCCCTGTAATAGGAAGTAGGTGAAGCCAAAATACTTTCTGCTGCCAGCGAAACATCTGTTTGGCTCTTTGTTTCTACACACTCAGATGCTAGCAGGCCAAAGGAATGTGTGAAGCCCCTTGTCTTTTTTTTCTTTAAAGCAGGGAGGATGGTGGCTGGATTAAGGACGTGTGTGTGTTTATGCATAACACCACGAGATCCCGCAGCCCAGACGTGTCCTACGGGCTCTGAAAACGGTTCGTCTGAGCAGGAAGTTTCATATCCTCCCCTATTGCAAGTCCTCTGTTTCCTTTCTACATCTGGGTGGGTTTCAAAAGTCATTATAATTACTACTGTTACAAGTGAGGAGAGCATGTGAAAGGGGTGAGCGGTCGGTGGTTCCTTTTTTTTTTTACTCTTCCTGGCTCTTTTCACATGTTTGACATCATGGAGCCTTCATGTTTTTCATTCATATTCCCAGAGACAATGCCATCCCGCACTCCTGCATTTTGGAGAGAACAACCCCTTTCCTTGCCTTTGACTTTTTTTTTTGCCACCATGTGTTTGAGTGATAAGATTATGTGACAAAAACATGGATTTATGCAGTACTAAGTTATGGCTGTTTTCATAACCTCCATGATTTTTATTGAGCATATGTCTGGTTGAATGAATATTTGAAACCATATATTATCAACACATCACAAAGGATACTATAATTTCAAGCATTATGATTCAGACGAAATGTTTTCTGTTGTAGGTCTGTCACAATGACCAGTATTTTTATTGCTACCAAAATGCCAAAATGTAGAGCAACATTTGTTTCGATATATATATATATATATATATATATATATATATATATATATATATATATATATATATATATATATATATATATATATATATATATATATATATATATATATATATATTCACGTTTCACAATAACTTACTGCAATAACAGCCAATTCCGTCTAACAGAACTATCATGGCTGAGTCAGGTCAATAGGCCACCTTGCTGACACAAACCTTTTCACCTGTGTCCACAAATCAAGCCCTGATTTCTTTGGTGCAGAAATTGAAGCTTTGAGGCGGTCACTCTGAAATATTAACTTTTTGTACTTTAAACCAAGTTGTAATTAATTAATCTGCTCATTGTCTATTTATAAATCCAGTTTGCATATTATCCTCATTTTATCTTCTTGTTCTTAGATCCTATAAATAGATTCTTTAATAATAAATTGTCCATGCCTAGGGGGGCTGCTCAGTGACACAGTGGGTAACACTGCCGCCTTGCAGCAAGAAGGTCCAGAAACATGACTGTTAGGTTAAATGGTTTCTCTAAATTTTCCTTAGGTGTGAGTGTGAATGGTTGTTTGTCCTGTTTGTCTCTGTGTTGCCCCGCGATGGACTGGCCACCTGTCCATGGAGTGCCCTGTCGGCTATAGCTGGAGATAGGCACCAGCACCCCTCGCGACCCCGCTGGTGATACGCGTGACAGAAAATGGATGGATGGATGGATTTGGAAACATTCATCTAGTGTTTTGATGTTGCTTTTGTCATAATGGCCTCTTCATCGCTGAGTGGCTTTTCAGCTCATGTTTGACCAAAACTCTTTTTGCTGTGGATGAAGACGATCTCTTTCAAACTTCCACCAGCATCTTTTAAGTTTTTTGCTTAATTGTCGGGTAGATAGGCCATTTTTGCTCCAAAATATGTAATTAAATATTTCACATGTAATTGTACTTCAGTGTACCTTTTGGACAGAATAGAAGTCGGTATTTATCTTACTGATATTCTGAATTGTTTTATTCAAGTTTTCGTTGATGTCACACAAAGAAGCAAATGGTTCACCTTCAATCAGCTCAATTTTTCTCACTTAACCATTATTAACATTTCTTTCACAGTCATGATATGGTGTTTATAACATGTTTTATGGCATAATATCTATTTTGTGTGTAAAATTATACATTTGAAGAAATCAGATGTAACTTAGATTTTTATCCTGATATTTTACAAATAGAAATACTTTGGTTAAACACAACTCACCATGAAATAAGAAAAGTTTAATCTAATTTAATGCTAGACAACAAAAGGGTTGTTTGTCTTTTTACCTGTTATGTAAAAATCTGCTTTCAACTGCTTTTTTACACTCTTTATAAATTCTGTTTGCATGTACCATGTATTGTAGAGCACACACAAAATATATTTTTCGTTATATTTAAATAACTGCAATAGCCTTATGTATAAAAATATAACTAAACCAATCAATTTTAAAGATGTTTTTAAAGTGAAGCAAAGGAAAAAATTTCCTTCAGTTATTATTTCTTGCATGAGGCTTTGAAGGGTTGATGAAGGAAAGAAAAACAACAGATTCATTTCAATGCATCAGCAATGAAAACTGACCTCCTTGCTCTAATTACTGAGGGTTTGACAGGTTTCCTGTGTACTTTACACTTCTTTAAAACTCAAGTCAAGGGAGTGTTAAAAGAAAATTTTTGCATAGTTTCACTCTGGGGACCAGTAGATGGAGAGGAAGTAATTTATAAAGAAATGTCATGCTCTTTCACAGACAAATAAGCACTTAGGAGGGCCGTTTTGTGTGTGCACTAAAGGAGGAGTTCAGAGCAACAGATTTATGAAGCCAAAGGTGTTTTCTTTTTGTTGTTATAATGACACCAGAAGGATTTACACATTGAGTAAAGAACAATGTGGAAGTTAGAGGGGTAACCTCCCTGTCACTGCTCTCCCTTCAACTGTGATTAAGAGACATGGGGACGTGATGCTGACGTCAGAGCTGAGATGGTAATTTACATTCGCTGCACAAGTGGGCATTTCACACTTAAGGAAACATTAATGGCGGTGCACACTTAGCCTGTCACAACTGAAGAGATGTGCGTTTTGGAGCTTTGCGCGCTTGTGAGATTGTATAAGCATCAGGAAGAAAGAAGGAAGAGAGAAGGCTCTTGCTGTGCCCGTCATGATAAATCATCTAGCTACGCCGTATCCTCTAACTTTGGACTCTGTTTGATCTTGATCGCTGTAAGATGGTGGTTTTGAAGTTAAAAACTCCAGGACTACAGGTCAGGCTCTGGCGAGGTGGGGCCACTAACCCACACAGTGAGGCAAGGTCATAATTTACACCCCAGTGGACAGCACCATAGCTTCAGGGAGCCCCAAGCCTCCATCTGTACTATCTCAATCAGTGACAGATTGATGGTGTCTCCTCTTCATGCAAACCAAAGAGGATCTCTCCGCATTAACTGCTTTACAAATAGACAAGTTCTCAGCAGGAAGAATCAGAGCAGGTTCCTGTGGTAAAAGTGGGCATTTATGTCACCGTGAGCAATGCAAACAAAAAAAGTATAACATCTGATTAGATTAGGAGATCTGTAACTCTCACACACTTCACAAGGCTAATCACCTTTAGTAGATTTTAGTTCTCTAGATTTGTGGGAGTGTTATCTAAGCTTGTTATCCAAGAACAGCCTCAATAAAACCAATGCGGAAATGGTTAAAGACAAAAATGTTCTCAATAAACAACTGAAGTCAACAAAGTCTTTCAGTAATGTGAAGAAAAACAATCATAAAACATTTTATTTTATCTAACAAAATTCAATGTTGGATTAACATTGCTTTCTTAAACACACGCTTAAAACTTTTATAGACTGCTCTGTAAAAGCGGAAAATAAAAAGGAGCAAAGCGCTGCTTTTATTCCCCCTCCTGTTAAATTTGTCCCACCGAGCGTCTGGTTTAACAACTCATTATCACTTAGCTGTGCAAAAACCCCACAAAGGCCATAGGTAACACCTGCTAAACGGAGCATGAATTTAACAAACTCACTCTTCCTCTTCTCTGCTAATAGTGTAAATTCATCAAACATCAATACACTGTCATATCAGCCTTTATCAGCATTTAAAGTACTTCTTCCAGCTGTTGGAGCTCATAAACATGGGGGTAAAGGAACAGAGCAAAAAAAATAAATAAATAAAACTGGATGTGGTTTTAGCACTAAATTAAAGTGTTAATTAAAGAAAATGCAAACTAGTATTTTATTTTCCCAGATCAGCACACAAAGGGAGACATCCAAAACAATTACACAATGTGACTTTGAACGTTGAGCAGTTCATGACTCGGTGAAGGGACAAGGGCCAGACCTAAGTGGCAATAACCCTTTTTAATCACATGTTTCTTTGTTGTATAGGACATCTGTCAAGGCATGATAATGTACAGGCACATATGAGGCAATCCATGTGTTTGAAATATCCAAAAGTTTTAAAGGTTGTTGAAAGGTTGTTAATTCTTATAAAGAACTTATGAAGAATTGGATATTTATATCCCAAAATGAGCAAATTCAAGAAACAATGCTGTCTTTCTTGCATATTTCTGTGAGGTGTAGTAAAGGAGCCTAGTGCGAAGAGAGCTAATTTCTAGGGTGCTCATAAATCAGGGTCCTTCTGCCCTCTAGTCCCCTGAGCCGGGACTCCAAGATCCAGAGTCTTGGGGTTAATTCCCAAATTTGCTCCTATACAACATTGTTTCCAATCCTGCAGCAGGATTAGGAAAACATCCAGGATCCAAGAACTGAACCTGCAACATGTATCTATATGCAATGCAGCCGTGTGGCCTTTGCACTCAAAATACCGAGGTATGTGTTAACACAGAGCAGTTACTCCCTGCACGCTATCAATAATTTGTCCTCTGTTAGCGCCCTTTGTCTTGTGATCATAAAAAACACTTGTTCTGCGGAAGGACCGCTTGGGAGGCCACAAACTGAAGCTTCCTGAGCGCTCAACACTGAGACCGAGACCTCTAACTATACACATTCCTACAGGGATCCAAGAGGGAGCTGATTAAACCAATCTACTTTCAAGATATGAAGGGCTCAGAAAGACAAATAAATATTTAAGATCAACCAGACGGATATCAGTGAAATATGGCTCAGATGCATTATTTTAGATTGATTGCTCTTTATTCAAATGTACCAAAATTTATAGCACAAACCAGATACTATTATTTCATCCATTTTTCTCTCTTCATTTATTTCTCTATCTGCCATTAGAGCCAACCAGCAAGTACAACACACACATTTCACCCACCAAACAATTTCTCCACTTGTCTAACTTCAGGTCAATAAAAGATAAACTCTCACCCATGTCATATTTTAGCTGCTATTTGGATTCGAAGGTGTTTTGCTATAATAAACGATATAAAAAAAGGGAATACTATACGTCCCTGGCATTTGACTGAATTCATTTTAATTCCACTGAGGCCTAATTTCACTGTAAGCTATTATGATGTAAATTAAGAGGCCAAAAAAAAATCATAAAAGCTTCATTATGAGAATGAGAGAATGAAATGAAAAACAGAGAGGCTTTTTGTTCCATTTTGGCTGTTTTCTATCAAATATTAATAGCCTCATAAAAATGAAGTTTACAAATTGGTTTCCTGCAGCGACGTGAAATAATGTAATCACGTCTGCAGTCCAGGTAAAATAAAAGAAATATATATATAAATAAATTAAAACAATAACATGACAGGAAGAGCATGTGACTGGTTGTAAATGTGTTACCAGCGCCTAGAAAATGAGCGCACGTCTTGACTATTGCCTCGTTAACTACTTTACATTTAATGTGGGCTCTTTAAGTGAATTAATGATAGCACTAAATCATAATCTTAGAAGCGCTGTAGTGTGTTAGGTATTTCTTTCTTCAATTTATTGATAGTCTACAGACAGTATTTACAACCTCTAGTTTTATGCATTTAAGAGAAATCATAAAACTTAAGTGTCTCTCCATTGCATTGTAAATTTAATTTGGGAGTTTAAATATTAAAAAAGTGATATTGTCTGCGTGGAAGCGGCAGGAACTCTGGATAAAGTTTGGAGCTGTGCGTATGCGCGTCGGAGGAAAGGACGGAAACAGACCTTGGTGTGCTTGATCTCCGGGTTGGGCACCGGGGAGGGCATCAGCTGGAGGGATGCCATGAGAGCAGCCGGGTCGCTCTTCACCTCTCCTGGGATTTCGATCTTACTTGAAGTCATCACGGCTCCGCTCGTCTTCCTGCCTGCCTGCTTCCCTGCTCACTGCGCCTTTTTTTCTCCCCTTCTTCTACTCGATTTCTGATTAGAGCTTCGGGTTCCTTCCTGGGTTTATAGCCAGGTGTCGGCTGTGGTTGGTTTTCATTGGGTGGACAGAAGTGGGGGGGAAAGGGCCGTCCTTTTGAAAATTAAATCCAAGCATTTACATAAATGACCTCAAGCCATGCGTGTTAAGGAGGAGGAACACGCGCACCCCACCTACTCTCCCACCGCGCGCTCTCCACTTTCCCCCAGTCGCTTTCGCTCAGCAACAGTTGGAGCTTTTTACATACTTATTCATTGTTTTACATACACAAATATCATGCTCATGGTGCCTGTGGCGAGTTATCACAGAGGTCTGGAACTGATTATCTCATACGTGCGCTCAGCACTGATAATAACTCAGCTTATTAACTTTACCGGGCAGTTTTAAATTACGCATTTTTTTGCCGAGAAAAAAAAAGAAAGGAAAATGGGTCCCAGACCAGCGCCTTACTTTGCTTAATGAAGCTTTTGCGTCTACAAGCTTTTTAATAGAAAAAGTAAAATGTGATAGATATTATAAATAAACATTGCAAAAAAAAAAAAATAATAATTAAATCTAAATAAGTCATTTTTTCTTGCAATAAGTGCATTTTTTTTCTTGAATTGGCGAGGTACTATGGAACAAGACAATTTACATTTAAAATAAGAAAACACAATTGCATTGTCTTATTTCAAGTGCATCTAATCTATGTAATATTTCCTATTTTAAGACTAAAAATACCTATTCCATTGGCAAAATATCTTATTTACCTACTCATTTTTTCTCATTTTTAGATGGTTTTTGGACTGAAGGACTCATTCGACTTATATATATATATATATATATATATATATATATATATATATATATATATATATATATATATATATATATATATATATATATATATATATATATATATATATATATATATATATATGTATTAGGCTATCATTAACAATTTCCTGCAAAGATGACATAAAAGTGTCATACTCCCTTTCAGCTTGCTCTCACCCTGTGGGTTTATTTGCCTAACACAACCTCCCCATGGCCGTCGCTGTCATGTAAATTACGGACAACAGGGATTGCTGCAGCTCCACGGGGTGTTGTTGGCACAGATTTGTCCTGCAGGTGATAATTCCTCCCGGAGTCTCCTTTTGAAAGCGTCCAATAAACATCTACAGATTACAAAAAGAAGGGAAAATGTTTGCTTTCTTACAGATTTCAGGTTGATATCACATAAAAATAACAAGAGTAAATAACAAAGAAGTTTAATTTATTCAGGAAGCAAAACAACCTTCCAAACCAATCTTATTCTTTGTTAAAAAAACAAAAAAAAACAAAAAAACAATAACAATTCCCTGAAATAATAACTGGTTGTGCCACCCCTGCTGACAAAAACTTCTGCCCAGTTTCAGGCAATGAGTGTTATACATCCATGTAAACGAGTGTTTTTGCCCACCTTTGCAGAACTGGTTTGATGCAGCCAGTTCTAATAATGCCACAGCTCCTCCAGTGGGTTTATATTTAAACTTTGACTAGACCAATTGAAAGCCATTGTTACTTTTGAAAGGGTCAAGTGTTCTTGAGCTTATAGCCAGTGATGGCTTGAGATGATCCTTTGGGGGGAAAAAATTGATAAAACACATAATCTCCTCACATTGGTTGGGATAACTTGTTTTCCTAAATGAACTCAGCATTTTGAAGATAATTTGTATGCATTTCTTTTTTTTTTTTTTTTTTTTTTTTTTTTTGTATTTGACTTTAAGGTTTCTGATTATCTGAAATTGTAAAAAAAGAAAAAAAAGAAAACTTAATTAACTATGCCAGGGAGAACATACTTAAAAAAATATGTACAGCTCAGTGAAGGGTTTCAAACAGAAGCAGCAAGATGATAAAGGATGCATGAAAAGCGTTTAATATGTGCATTTTCAGTCAAAAATGAAGCAAAGATTTCAATAAACTAAAATCTCTCCTGCTCATTTAAAGTATTAACGATATAAGTCCCACAAGCTGAGACTCTTAACATGACACATCAGTTTGAAGACAGATGCAGCTTCATCATTTGCAAACCTCTGAGTGGATGCTTTTCCTCCATCAGCACATCAGTGCTTTTTCACAGCCTGGGCGACACTCTCCAAAGTGTCTGTTTCACATCAAAGAGGACAAGCCTGCAGCCGTGACATTGATTAATGGATTCAAAAACATCCCGTCCTCTGCCTGTCGTCTCACCTTTTTTTTTTCACAGAGCCCAGCCAACGGAAGATAAGACATACCGGAGGAGAAGGTGTGAGAAGCCATCAGCCGCGCTTCAAATGCGTTCATGGAGCGCCCTCTGTTGGACGGAAAGAGCATCTGAGCGTAGAGGTTATTGCGTTGCATAAGCTGATGGCTGCAAAAATAGGCCTACTGCATACCCTGGGGTCTGACAAAGAAGATAAAGAAAACTGGGTCTGTGGCAAATATGTCGAGTGGGAGGATTATATGATGAATTGTATTGACATGAGATGCGAGGAAAATAAAAACATCTAATGACAGAGTTTTGAAAGGCTTTAATGTGCTGGAATCTAACTCCCCCCCCCCCCCCCCCCCCCCCCCCCAGCTTTTATTCTCATATAGGCTACTGTCCCAAGTACAGAGCAACGAAACTCACTCTTTGCATTTAACCCATCCCCTTGGGGAGCAGTGGGCTGTCACTCTGCGGTGCCCAGGGAGCAGTGTGGGGTTAAGGGTCTTGCTCAGGGACCCTGTGGGAGAGGGACTCTAACTCAGAATGCATGATTGTTGTAGAACTTTAAAACTGGTTAAAATAATAGCCTATTGATGTATTTCCTAAACCCTCATATGTATTGCGCTTTCTGCCTCTGATAATATGTTCAAAATGTCTCATCACCAACTCTGCCTTCAGGACTCATCATTGTGAACTGCATGCTCTGGTTTCATGGCCCTTTCTAAGCCTCAGAAGACAACATCATTGGCTTACTTTCATTTACAAGGCCATCCAAACTCCCTCCATACCTGTGTCACCTCATGTCTGTAGCTAACAGTGGTTACAACTAACGCTCTTCAAGTCGTGTTCTTTTCACTATTCCCAGGATCAACATAGATCTTGGCAAAACATCATTTTTCTATGCAGCACCGCAATTACGGACTCTTGTTCCGCTACATCATTTTAAATCACTATTGAATGAAAACCGCTTGCACGGAGAATTGTAACTGTTATTCTAGAGTTAGTTGATGATTGATTTTATTTTGTTGTTTTTATGTGTTTTTATATGTCTTACTGTACTGCTGCCCCTTGGCCAGGTCTTCCTCGAAAAATAGATTTTATCTTAAGGGACTTCCTGGTAAAATAAAGGTAAAATAAATAAAAAGATTTTAAAAAACTGTCCAGTTCTGTTGTTTGTCGTTGTCGTTTTTCTTTTCTGTTTTTTTTTTTTTTTATAAAAAGTAACCCAAATAATGTTCAATTTCTGTTTATTACATTTTAATTCGTTTAGCTGTGTATTATTTTCCCGCTTTTTGATTATGGGAAATTGTGTTCTATCATCACCCATACATGATCTTGATTATCATAAAATAAATCTGATTCCCTGAGCTGTAATTAAAACTTTACTTTAGGTGGAAAATGCCCTGATATTAGATATGTAAACCCACACTGTGTCAGAAAACGTAAAATTAAGCCTATTAAAATAAAAATATTCTTTAGTATTTACACAAAGTGATATATTTACACCAAGTTACGGTAGGATTTCCAATGCATTCTGGAAAATTGTAAATGGAGGCTTGGTGAGAAGGATTAATAAATACATAAAAAATATTTAAAATATAATAATGATTTACCGTTGCCGACTTTATTTGAATATTTTGATTAGTGTAGTTCATTGATTTTTGCAAGAAAATAACACTCAAGTTCATTCATATTAATTAGGCTACAATGATAAAATAAAGCAGTTAAAACAGTTTGTGTGCGATTCTTGTTTGTCTCTACAGTAGCCTACAGCTGGTTGTTTTTTACATTTGATAGTGCAGAGCACTACTATTAGTGTATGTTTGGTTATGTTTTTAACTTTAAAATCGATCGTTTATCCTTGTAAAAACACATTAAATGAGCTACTGGACAACATTTTTAAAGTTTAATTAGTCAATTTAATTGTCTTATTTTCTTTTTGAATGTTTCCAACAAATCAAATAAAAATAAGCAACGATTATACACCCTTTTCTAACGGAAAACATTCAGTGGAATATTTTTTTTTTTCAAATGGACCCCTTGTGGTTACGCCGTGAAACATATAGAGGGAGCTTAACGCGTCCGACAGTGGGAGGCGACAGCCTGCGCCCTGACCTACTGTCTTACTCCCATCAGAGTTGGTGGCTGTTTGTTGTGATCGGAGGAAGCCTTTGAAGAGTCGCAGAAAATAATCCCAATAGTGAAAAATCATGGAGGGGGAAAGAGGAAGGAAGATGAAGGAGAAATTTGGCCTGAGGCATGCCATCCTGAGGGAGTTCCTGGCAGAATTTCTGGGGATATTCGTCCTGATAGTGAGTATTATTCCTCCCTCCCTCTGCACCTGTCATCCAGCTTAAACAGCCGCTTTAAAGCTGTCTAATAAGATGTCAAGCAGAGTCTCTGTTGACTGACTGCTGCACTTCACTTGTGTCTATTTACAGATAAATAAAAGCTATTTTATGACAGGTTGTCCTGAAGAAATCATGTTAAGATGTAATTAATGCAGTTTTATAGAGGTGCTTTGTCATTAAATATTCATTGTTTCATAATTATACGATTTACAGAGGCATAGCCAGAAAATCCTGATAGGGGCGGCCAGTCAATAACCAATGAACACTGAGGGGTGGCCGAAAGGCACCAGAACCTCAATCTACACTGTTCCAACAGGAACATGCACAACATCCATATTTTCTAAATAAAGAGAAACTATACTTTCCTGCAGCTTATGCTAATAGTAGACGTATATATTTAAACATCTATGCTGTGTAAATAAAAGGTATAGTGGACAAAATTCTTTCAGGTTTGAGTTCTGGGGCGAACATATTTCAATTGTCATTACCTACTTTTATCAAAATTAAATCTACTAATATCCACATTTGATAATTTTTTAAGTTAATATTAAAGTAGTTATTTATCTATGATTTCACTGAAGACTCCTAGATGACTTGCACAGGCACATCATTTGATCTTTACCCCAAATAATTCAAAGTTTAGTTCTGAAAAGAGCATGAATTCTGTATCTATCATCGTTAATTTTTGTATATTGATGTACATAATGAACCACAGTATTTCTGTTGTCAAGTAGTTGTTAATATATGAAAAATGTAAATGTTTTAATAAGTTTGAACATTCCCCTTCAAAGAATTACTGCTGCCACAGTCTGTATTAAGCCGGGCGTACACTGTGCGATTTTTTCAATCGTTGCATGCAGCTACACTGTACAACCAAACCGCAGGGTTTGGTTGTACAGTGTGAGTTCACAGCTCAGGATTTATGTTCGGCCCGGCGCTCTGATGCGATTTGCCTGCTCACACTGCGCGTCTAAAAACCACGTTGGACTGAGGTCCGCAGTCAGATGGAGCTGCTCCGACTCGTCTATCCGGAAGCCAAACGAATAGAAGGGGAATATTAAGCTCACTGGAGTGAAAAGAGCTGCCTTGGCAATTTGCGCAATTTTGTGCTTAAAGCCCTAAAAAGAAAAGGCGACGATGTATTTCGACAAAGACATGGCTGAGCAAATGTGGCTACTACGGTCTGTCAATTTTACAGAAAGAACTCAATTTCACTCATGTCTGTGTTTACATCTGAGAGGAAGAAGCAAAAAAAGAATCCTTATTTGCGCACTGAGCGATTTGCCCACGACGGTCAGAAGAAAATCAAACCTCACGATTCCTGATCGGGAGGTCAGTCGACCTGATCGGACTGGAAAATTGCCCTGAAAATCGTACAGTGTACGCCAGGCTTTAAAGGCAAAAAATGGTAGGGGTGGCCACAGGGGTGGCCAATGATTGACTAAGGGTAGCCATGGTCACCCCTTGCCCCCATCTAGCTTCCTCCCTGATTATACAGAATAAAACAAATAGAGAGTAATTCAAGATAAAAAAATAAAAGATTAACAATTAAAGGAATACGGTACTATAAAAAAAGATTGCTCTATCTTTTATTAAGAGTCACCTGAGTGTCCACGCCTCCACCTGAAACCCTCTGAGCTCCAGCTGTCACCTCAAAGAAAAAAAAAATGCTTTATGTCTGTGCCTGCCAATTAGAGGGATGATGCAGCTTCAACAACAACTCTATTTATTTGTGGATGACTGCTCTTGCCTCAACACTTTTCCCCCTCTAAATTACTTGTGCCTTTTACTTAATATGTGAGAGCTTAATTATTGTTTTTAGCTGCAGCTTGGACAAATTGTCTGTGGTAGTCTGAGGCTGTTTGTGGACAAAAGGGCTAGTGTTAATTGTGAGCCTAATCGGAATGATTTAAAACAATGAGCCTTTTCTAGATGCACTCTTTGTTTTTTTGTTCTTGTCTGTGTCCCAGCTCTTTGGATGCGGTTCAGTGGCCCAGACCGTGCTAAGTAAAGGGGCTCTGGGAGAGCCGCTAACCATCCACATTGGTTTTACCCTGGGAGTTATGATGGCGGTCTACATGGCTGGGGGAGTGTCAGGTAAGAGAGAATCACATGTGAATCTGTCATAGAAGATATAAAGATTAATGGGAAACAGATCACAAATAAAATCTTTTCTTTCAAATTGTCACTCAGGTACAGAAATATCTATAAATTTATGAAATACATTCGAACTAAGAACTCTCTTTTTATCGTTTGTTTCAAAAACGCACACTTTGATGCACTGTCAATAATAATGCTGAAAATCTCTGTAATTCAATATTTACTATCGAATTCTATCATACAACCTCCATCAAAGAACCTGCTTGACAATCTGTTTTTTTATATTTAGGAGATATCACAGGGAAAAAAAAAAATAAAAATCCCAGTATGTCAAAGGCTTCATAGTTGGATTGGTGAACCCACCTGTCATTCCACAACACCCCTGGTTCACAAGAACACAAAGTCCTGAGAGATCCTCATATTAAAATCACAATACAGTTTATATTATTAAAAAAGAAAAGCATAACATGATATAAATGGATTTATTTTATAAGGGAAAAAAAATAAATTTTCTGGCAAAAATAATGTAAGACATTTGTTATGGTAAAAATGGCATCTGTAACTGATCTACTGGTATTTAGATTTCAGCCCATAGATATAAAAAGGTATAGAATAAACCTCTGCTAAATTTATCAGTGGTGTTATCAGCTAGTTTATTATGTCTTTTGTCCTTTTGGTCGTTGTATGGTAACATAGGCTGCATAACAAGCAGATATGAGGAAACCTTCTAGTCAAACTGTCTACATTCGGCTGCTAAAGATACCTCTAATGTACCGTATTAACTACATTTTAAACTGGTGATGGAGCATTACCTTAAAAAGGAGTCACTGGTGCTAAACTCTAGTAGATTATTATTGAGCCAGCTGAGTGGGACTGCACAATACCAAAGTGGGGAGAGCTGCGCTCTTCACCATACTGGTTAATAAGCTGGTGAGAAAATTCCTATTACTTTAACAGTTTTTGTTGCTTTCGTTTTCAGAGGTTCTAACTTTAATTGATCATAATACCAGTAAATGACCAATACCTACTCCTCACTAGTTTATGAACAAAATAATCTTTCAGTATCATTAGGAAGTAATACATCGATCTATTACTTTGTGTCTTTGGTTCTACAGGTGACATGTCTTTAAATTTAAAAAGGTGGGAATAAACAAAAATATATCATCCTTTAATTGGGACAGGAATAAAGCGCTATGGTTTTAAAGAAAAATCACAAATTATGCATTTGTTTTTTCCATCCATTTTCCTACACACTTATCCCAATCATGGTTGTGAGGGGTGCTGGTGCTTATCTCCAGCTGTCTACCGAGAGGCAGGACAAGTCGCCAGTCCATTGCATTTGTTTTTATTGTTAAAATTTTATTGTTAGTTCACAAAGTTCATAAGCATGCTGACACTAGTTCGTTATTGTTATAAAGGTTTTCATTGTTAGGGGGGCCACATGCCGAAGGCATGGCCCACCTATTACTATTGCACATATTTATTAGGGGGGCCACATGCCGAAGGCATGGCCCACCTACTACTATCTCACATATTTATTCCGCGTATTATTAGGGGGGCCACATGCCGAAGGCATGGCCCACCTACTACTATTGCACATATTTATTCCGCGTATTATTTTTATAGCTTATAGTTCTCCTCGCCACCGAAACTTCGGCACGTAACTAGTCCCGCACGGTTTGGCGGATCGGGCCCAAAGTTGGCACACGCGTCGGGACCAATGGTGCGATGCGTGCTTGTATAAAACTTTCTCATTAGTCTGACGGTTTGCGAATTATTAGCGAAAACGTCGCAAATAAAATCCCATAGGAAATGAATGGGGAGAGGTAAAAAAAAGCATAAAAAACAGCGGTTCACTGTGTCGCCATACCTTCACCTAGAAAAACTGTTTAAAGCTCAGTTTGTAGATAAATCCTTCGTCTGTTTAAAACTGAAGACGGCATGTTGATAACTGCTACGGTTTTTGTATAATCGGACCTCAAGCGCCACAAAGTTTTAGCAAAATCCACCCTTCTAGAGTGGAGCAACTGAAAAGCTAGAGTGTGAGGCAGCCGTTTTTTTAAGACCCAAAAACATTTTAAACTTGCCCTCACGGCCACATTTTTATAGCTAGAGTCACCATTTTTGGTCAGTTTGTAGACTGAAACCTCTGGACCCACACAATGTCTTCGGAATTACGGTAGGATTAATACTTTTCCTTAAAAACCCTCCAGACCGACCTAAAGTCGATCAAAATCAGAGCCGTTTTTCATTGGTTTTGGAGCAGAAGAGGGGAGCAAAACGAACATCACTATGTGTTTTCAACTCGTCATAAATATTGTTCTGAAAGACACATACACCAAAGTTGGCATAGTTGGAGTCGAAGGATGGCTGACGCTCACGGTGAAAATTTTTTTTGAATAACTCATACGGTTTTTGCTCAGCAGTCGTTTGTTCGGAGGCTGTTTTAAGCACCAGAAAGCTGGGTGACAGTGAGCTGCTGCAGCTAGCTCAATTAGAAGCTCAGCTGTGATGAAACGTTTTTTTCTTTTTCTTTCTCTTCCCATTCAGGTTGTAGATGACCTACAGCCATGAAAGTTACTCCAATTGAAGACAAGATATAGCTGTCGCTTAGATAAAAAGAATTTTTCAGATATCATTTATGGTTTTTACTCAGCAGTCGTTTGTTCGGAGGGGTGCTTTAGCAGCAAAAAGATGAGTGAGAGGAGCTGCTGCAGTTAAAACAAAGGGAGGAGCAGGTGGGATCAGCCATTTTGCTTGTGCTTCGTTTTGGGTTGTGAAAGACCTACAGACATGAAGGTTATCCCAGTCTGAGACAAAGGATAGATGTTGCTTTCACTGAAAGAATTTTTCAAATACCTTTTACGGTTTTTGCTCAGCAGTCGTTTGTTTGGAGGGTAAGCACCTGGAAGCTAGCTGACAGTTAGCTTCTGCAGCAGCCTGCTACAGTGCAGCTGCTGAACTCTTAGTGTGAGGCAGCCATTTTTTTTAAGATAAAACATTTTAACTCGCCCTCACGGCCACATATTTGGAGCTACAGTCACCATTTTTGGTCAGTTTTTAGACTGAAACCTCTGGACTCACACAATGTCTTCGGAATTACGGTAGGATTAATACTTTTCCTTAAAAACGCTCCAGACCGACCTAGTGTCGATGAAAATCAGCCGTTTTTCATTGGTTTTGGAGCAGAAGAGGGGAGAAAAACGAACATCACTATGTGTTTTCAACTCGTCATAAATATTGTTCTGAAAGACACACATACACCAAAGTTGGCATAGTTGGAGTCGAAGGATTGCTGATGCTCATGGTGAAGAAATTTTTTGAATAACTCATACGGTTTTTGCTAAGCAGTCGTTTGTTCGGAGCTGTTCCTCCCATTCAAAAAAGCCTGAGAGCGAAGGGACGATAGTGCTGCGCTTTTCTCTCTGTCACTGACAGGCTCCTTAAGCGTTGTCAAGGTAACCGTGCTTCAAAGAGATTTTACCTCTGCTGTTTTAAACAGCACATATTAATCTAA